AGGTAAATTCAAAGCAACATATCGCGTACTTTGTTGAGACATGCAATAATGCAGGGACTTATGGAGATTACCTTGTCAAGAAGTTCGTCCGCTCACTAAAAGGGAATACTTTTGATTGGTACACCGACCTCGAGGCTGGATCCATTTATAGTTGGGACCAATTAGAGCAAGAGTTTCTCAATCGCTTTTATAGCACGAGGCGTACTGTGAGCATGGTGGAACTTACGAACACTCGCCAACGAAAAGATGAACCAGCTATTGACTTTATCAACCTATGGAGGAATGCAAGCATTAACTGCAAAGATATGCTAAGCGAAGCTTCTAGCATAGAGATGTGCATCCAAGGAATACATTGGGGACTTCGTTACATCTTGCAAAGAATTAAGCCCAGGACATTTGAAGAACTTGCCACCCATGGTCATGATATGGAGTTGAGCATGGATTCTGTGGGAAGTGAAGGGCTGCCCATCTACGAACCTCGCAAGGGAAGAGATAAGATAGAAGTCAAGAAATGGAGTAAGTTTATACCCAAGAATGAAAGCAAGGAATCCATGAACGTCAATGCCTCTCCTTTGAAGTTTATTACCAAGGTGAGCATGAAATAGAGTATGAAAACAACTTCCTCTCAAGACAATGCAAATCGAAAGTTGACTCTCAAAGAGATGCAAGAAAAGGAATACCCATTTCTAGACTCTGATGTGCCTGCAATATTTGAAGAACTCCTCGAGCTAAATCTTATTAAGCTGCCAGAGATGAAGCGGCTAGATGAAGCTGGAAAAAGCAATGACCCGAATTACTACAAATACCATCGACTTGTAGGTCACCCTCTTGAGAAGTGCTTTATCTTCAAGGACAAAGTTATGGATTTGGCTCGTCAAAAGAAGATCGAGCTCGAAGACAAAAAGGCAAGCACAAACCATGTGTCCATTGCCTTTGGCTCATTCGATCATATTGAAATATGCACTTGTGAAGGGAATAAAGATGAAGAATTGTTAGAGGATGACAAAGTCCGAGTTGATCAATTCGATGAAGAAGGTTGGACCCTGGTGACTCATCGAAGATATCGTACATTGAGTCCGCCAAAAAGGATCAACGAAGCAACATACAAGGAATAAGATGGTGAGAAAACCAAAAAAGCAATAAATGGTTAAGAACCCAAAGAAGGTGGAAATAGAGACACACAATCACTAAAAGCCACGCCACTCGGTGACTTTGGGATAATTTTTTCCGAGTTGGTTTCGCATGAGGACATCTGACGATGATGATAAGGCATTGTGTTGTAATACTGATAAAGAAGAAGATGAAAAGAACGAAGTCACGTCAACACTGTCTCTGTCATTGTCCAATAGTCTTGTTGAGCCCTCCTTCCAAGAAGCACATGTCTGTAATGCAAAAATAATCTTCATTGAAGACGATCTCCTACTTGGTGAGACACCACACAATCGCCCTTTGTTTATGGTGGGTTTTGTGCTCGAGTGGAGGATAAACAGAATCTTGATAGATGACGGATCTGCAGCTAACATTCTTCCCATTCGAATAATGAAAGAACTCGGCATCTCAACTAAAGAATTTTTTGAAAGTCGACTGATGATTCAAGGATTCAATCAAGGGGACAAAGGGCCATAGGAGCTATCAAACTAGAAATCACCATGGGAGATATGCAATCAAATGCATGGATGCATGTGATTGACGCAAAAACTTCATACAATTTGTTGCTTGGCAAGTTGTGGATACATGAGAACAAAGTTGTCCCATCAACTTACTACCAATGTTTAAAATATAATAAAAATGGAGTCGAAAAGAAGATAGTTGTTGAAGACAAGCAAGTAAGCAGAAGGAAAGACTAAAGAAGCTCTAAAGAATAGCATCAAGGTCTCCATCTATATCTGCAGTCTATGGTCAAATTCCAAAGGCGAACTTAAATCATAGGCGGGCGGCTTCAAATTTTCCATTCGTGATAACCCAACACCAAATCCTGGTTCGTTACAACCTTCAAATTGTTTGTGACGTACTACAAATCTGAAATCCGTCAAGCTCAAGCTCTCAAGCTTCTTGAACCATCGTCTGTGAGGAGAAGAATCAGTGGACTACATCTCTTTAGATCTAGAGATATTTTAGAGATTGTAACTCCATCATTTGAAATCGAATATAATATTTTTCGCTATATTTCTTGTCTTGATTATTATTTTTCAGGAACGAAATTTAGTTGTTACAAATTTTGGCAGAACTCTATTGTGGTTTTCAAGACATGCAAAAAATTATTTAATCCATACAAAATTTGGGTTAAATTCTAAATTACTTTGGGTCAAATAATTAATTTGGACTTTACAAATTAAATAAGTCCATTTTAATATTTTTAAGCCCAAGGTCCATTTCATCTTAAGGCCTAGACTATGCCATGTGTCATGGCATATCCAGTCAAACTCTAGGCCAATAAGGTGATGTCACATGTTAAATGATATGGAAATCCAAGTCAAAAAAGCAAGAACCAACCACAAGTCGCCAAGTGGCTAAAATGACATGGACGAATCAGAATCAAGCAAAAAAGTCCTTATATAACTGGACTGTCCATCCTCTACAACTATAAATAGAGGGGTTACATAACTCTCAAAGGACATTCTGAGTTGGAAAAGAGCATTTCGCAATTGGTGAAGGCATCCGCAAACAGAGAGATCAATCATCAAGAGCATAGTTCTTCACCAAAGGAGTGAACAACGGAGTTCTTCTCGGAGATCAACTCGTAACAACAAAGTGCTGCTTGATGCTCTTGGCGATTAAATATATCACTAGGAGGTCTGCATCATCCTACATTTGAGAAAGATGCTTCTCAAGCCCTCGAATCACGGAGAATTTTTAGAGAGGAGAATCAAGGGATACATAGAATTGTACTCACAAATATTTATCAATAAAATCACTTTTTATTCATATTATTTTTGTTGTAGTTTATTTTTTGTATTACAAGAATTTGTTGCAAACAAATTTTGTCACGCCTAGTGGGACCAATTCCGCCCTTCATCTCTCCTTCTTGCAAGTTGAAAACTACAAACTTCAGATCTACTGCTATAATGGCCTTCCGCAAGTGTGATGTTTCATGCAAAGATGCTACTGTTGCCGCATCCGCTGAGTTCAATCATGTTGGCCCAATCACTCAAAGCAAGTTCAAGGCTAGTGGCTTGGATGGATCCGAATACTTCGCCTCCTTGGATATGGCAAAGAAGAGCAGATCTTATATGACGTTCGTAACAACAATCTCTGGGGGCAACACCACATTCTCGCTGTTCGACGAACTTTCTCAAACAACCTCAGACCTTGGCGGATTTGAGGATTTGGTGGATTATTCTGTTTCAACGAAATTCAATGCCTTGATGACTTTCCGCTACCAATTATTGAACTCATGGTTGACGCTACAACAGGGCATGAAGCTATGTCATTCATGGATGGGTCCTCCGGATATAATCAAATCAGAATGTCTCCAAAAGATGAAGAGTGTATTGCTTTCTGAACTCCAAAAGGGATATATTGCTACAAAGTGATGCCCTTAGGTCTGAAGATGCAAAACATCTTTGACGACATGCTTCATAATAGGGTTTAATGCTACGTCGATGACTTGGTGGTGAAGACAAAGAGTAGGCGTTACCACCTTGAAGACCTTCGAATTGTTTTTGAAAGGTTAAGAAAATTTGACTTGAAGATGAATCCACTCAAGTATGCATTTGGAGTTACCTCAAGAAAGTTTCTTGGCTTCATTGTGTGTAATCGTGGAATTAAAGTTGATCCTGCAAAGATTGACACCATTCAAAATGCCCAAGCCAACAAACTTTAGAGAGCTTCGAAGTCTCCAAGGACACATAACATTTATCCGGAGGTTCATCTCTAATCTTGCCGGACGGTGTCAAACCTTCAATCATCTATTGAGGAAGGATATCCCTTTTTATTGGTATCAGTCATGTCAAAATGCTTTTGAAAGCATAAAAAAATACTTGCTGAATCCACCTGTGTTAGGGGTGCCAATGCTTGGGAAGCCATTGATACTCTACATCGTGGCACAGGTATGTTCACTCGGAGCACTACTTGCTCAAGAGAATGAGGAAGGAAAGGAACACGCCTTGTACTACCTTAGCCGAACTCTTATAGGAGTTGAGATGAACTATACACCTGTTGAGAAAATATGCTTAGCGTTACTTTATGCGATAAAGACGCTAAGGCATTATTTTGAAGCATACACCATCAAACTCATCTCTCGAGCAGGTCCAGTGAAATTCGTGATAACTCAACCTGTTCTTTCTGGATGCCTAGCAATATAGTCCATATTGTTTAACCAATATGAGATCATATACACACCTCAAAAAGTTGTGAAAGGACAAGCACTAGCCAATTTTCTAGCTAATCACCCTCTTCCAGTGGAATGGGAGCTTTCGGATGAGTTTCCAGATGAAGACATTTTGTTCATCGAAGAGTTTCCACCACGGACAATTTTCTTTGATGGATCTTCACGTCGTAACAATGTGGGGCAGGTGTTGTATTGATCTCTCCAGAAAGACAAATCTTGCCATTCTCCTTTGTTTTAGGTGAAACATGCTCCAACAATGCCGCAGAGTACCAAGCTTTGATCGTCGGTCTCGAAATGGCATTAGAAATTAAGATTCTACAGTTGGAGATCTACGACGACTCTAAGCTGATCATCAACCAACTTTTGGGAAGTTACGAGGTAAAGAAGTAAGATCTATTGCCATACCATCAATACGCTTTTGGTTTACTTGAACAATTTGACCAAGTGTTCTTAAACCACGTCCAAAGAGAAGAAAATTGCAAGGCTGATGCTTTGGCTAACTTGGCCACGATGATGGCACTTGGAGAGAATGAGTCAACAAAGGTATATGTGTGTCATCGATGGGTTATTCCTAGACTTCTGGATCTTCAAATCAACAAAAGCCATCATACGTCTGTTCTAGTGATTGAAGAAGAAGATTAGAGGCAACCACTGATAGAGTACCTTGAACATGGAAAGTTACCTGAAGATCCGCAACAAAGAACAGACATCAAACGAAGAGAACCACGATTCATCTTCTATAAGGGGACATTGTTTCGCTGCTCTTTTGAAGGATTATTCTTGCGATGTCTTAACAAAGAAGAAGCCCACCAAGCGATGGAGGAAGCACATTCTAGCTCATGTGGAGCAGACCAATCTGGTCCCAAGATCCATTTTCGCATCAGGAGGATGTGCTACTACTAGGAGACAATGGTGAAGGATTGCATGGATCATGCCAAAAGATGTCAAGCGTGTCAATTTCATGCCAACTACATCCACCAACCTCAAGAGCCGCTTCACCCAACTGTAATTTCATGGCCTTTTGATGCATGGGGACTTGACGTTGTTGGACCACTTCCAAAGTCATCAAAGGGACAGATGTACATATTGGCTGCTGCGGACTACTTCTCTAAATAAGCTGAAGTTGTTGCACTCAAGGAGGTGAAAAAGGAAATCGTTGTCTATTTTATCAAGTCATATATAATTTTTAGGTACGGTATACCAAGATACATAATCACTGATAATGTAACGCCATTTGACAACAAGCTCGTGAAGAGTCTGTGCAAGAAGTTCGGTTTCAAACAACATAAGTCTTCAATTTATAATGCACCCGCCAACGGCCTTGCTGAAGCTTTTAACAAGACGCTTGGTAACCTTTTGAAGAAAGTTGTTGCAAAGAACAAGAGAGACTGACATGAGAAAATTGGTGAAGCTTTGTGGGCATACCGGACAACCTTCAGAACTGCTACACAAGCAACTCCTTACTCTTTGGTATATGGCGTGGAAGCAGTCCTTCCATTGGAGCAACAAATTCCATCATCGCGGATCGCAATCCAAGAAGGACTCATGTCTGAAGAGAATGCTCAACTTTGCCTAGCAGAGTTAGAGGCATTGAATGAGAAAAGATTAGAAGCGCAACAAAAATTGGAGTGCTATCAAGCTCGACTAGCTAGAGCCTTCAACAAGAAAGAGAGGCCACGATCATTCCAAGTGGGAGACTTAGTCCTAGCTGTTCGGCGACCCATAATCCTCAACAAACGCATAGGCGACAAGTTTACCTCAAAATGGGATGGGCCATATGTTGTGAAATAAGCCTATTCAAGTGAAACATACAAAATCGTTGATAAGGATGGTCTTAGAGTTGGTCCAATCAACGGAAAATTTTTGAAGCAGTACTTTCCATGAAAGTCACCGACGCTCCTCGACGTACGAACCTAAACTGCAAGTCATGGCGCTCCTCGACGTACGAACCTAAACTGCAAGTCATGGCGCTCCTCGACGTACAAGCCTAAACTACAAGTCATGACGCTCCTTGATGCATGAGCCTAAACTGCACGTTGCTACACTCTTGGCCCGCATGAGTCTAAACTGTGTACGGCCCAAAAAAACAATAAAGAAGTCCACTAGGTTGAAAACCTCACAAAAGGCAGCCTAGGCAAAAATTTGGACATAAAAAAGAAAAAAAAAGAACTCACCCCTCTGAACTACGTTGTGACTTGATCCTCTTCATCGAGGTACATAGGCAGCTTAGAGTTTCATTCTAAGTTCAGTTGCATGAGTTTAAAAAAGAAAAAGGTTTGGCTTATGGGATCATCACATTAACTCTTTCAAGTATGGAGACATATATAAATACGAGGAAGAAGACAATTTGCATTGAAGCGTAAAAGATATTTTATTGCTTCAATCTTACAAAGTTGATACATCCAAAAAATGTGGAGATGAAAGGAATTAGACATTATCCTATACAAAAGCCTAAGTAATGAAAATGATCGTAAACTAGGCTTTGTTACTGGCGTCTTGAATGCTTTTCTGAGTTTGTATAACGTCCCCACATTTAATACACCACTCGCGATGTACGTCTCTCATGTTCAATATTTGTGACGATCTCTTGACCATGGGTCCTGTTGTTAGGCCTCGAGCAGGATGTTGCTTCTCTTGTGAAAGTGTTGGTTAAAGGTCCCATATGTAAGAAGTTGTCTCTCTTTAGAAAAAACCTTCAATCATCGTGGGAGCCGCCATTTATGAACTTCAAGACTATCAACAATTCAAGTGCAACAATTGGCGAAGGGGTGGCTTCGCATGACGATCTACTATAATAATTTTTTCTTTTTCATAGAGATTTTGCGTGCTCAAAACTTCAACATATCCGCATCCTGTATGATATCTCAGTCGGATATTCGGACCCTTTGAGCTCCTTTGCAAGTCTGCAAAAGAAATAAACAAAGAGATAAGATTTGTGATGATAGTCGAATCCATTACAAGGCTGTAGAATCAAATTCAAAAATATTTGTTAGGCTAACTAAGAATGAATGGAGCTTCATCTTCAACAAGATTATAGTTCTCGACGTCTGAATTTCATAGGATCAAACTGTTGGTGATTTCGACGCTCCTAGTTCAAGATACAGTTTTTCTAGCCGAAAGCACGCAAAACTGAAAGTTCCCTGTGGTCAGTTCGACTATCAATATTTTTCTGTTTCTAGCCCGAGAGGTGTTCCGGGATGAAATTTCTATGTGTTGCAGCTCTATGATTTGCTTTCCAATGGCGCAAACGGATTGCAGTTTTGACACTCCTAGCTCAAGTTATGAATTTTTCGACAAAGGTGCAGAGAGCTGAAAAGTTAGCTTGGCAGACGTGTGGAACAGCTTTAAAAAATCGTACCGGTCTACCTAGAGAGTGTTTTACCCTGAAATTTGGATATGTTGAAGCTCTGAATGTTCAGTTTTTAATGATATAACTCATTTATGATCCGGACCCTTATAGTGTAGCTCAGAGCAGGAACTTTTCGGTAAGCATGCGCAAGTCTGAAAAGCAAGTTCAACAGACATTAGGAGCAATTTCAAACTACTGTTGCAGGCAACCCGAAAGGAGTTCGTCCATGATATCTTCAAGTATTGCAGAAATTGTAGTTTTCTTTCCAACATTACAAGTGGAGCACTATTCCAACACTTGTAGTTTGAGATATGAATTTTTCCACCAAAGCGTGCAAAGCTGAAAAGCAATTTCGCGGACAGATGAGTCAAGTTCAGAAAGTTGCTGCGAACAATCTGCTAGGAATTCTTCTATGATATCTTGAGGATTTCATTATATCTGAGTCTTCTTTCCAATGGCACAGACGGCTCACGATTTGGGCATTCCTAGTTTGAGATATCTACGTTTTGATGACATCATATAGTGCTATAAAGTCAAAATGTTCGATATGTATACTAGCTTCAAAAGTTGACTCCGGCTAATCCTCAAGGAATTTATCCGTGAATTCTTTAAAGGATCTAACTTTTCAAGTTTTGATTCTTTGAAAGTAAGAAGCTTCAGATGTCATCGCTCCTACATCAAGGAATTAATAATTTTGCAAAGGTTCGCCAAGCACTCGCCCGCCAAGGATGAAATATGGTCGCTCGAGCTCCAAGCCTCTTTCTTGCCAAGTCGCAAGGCTGAGATGCACCATGTTCTCGCTCGTATGTTGCAAAGTGGGGATATGGCTCGTCGATCAAGCTCTCTTAGAAATACTCTAAATTTCTCTCGTCAAGCTGCAAGAAGGGATATACCAAGTTGCTGTTGTACTCTCTTGAAAACCTGCAAAAATAAGAAAAGATTTTGGAGACCTAAGTGCCAGCAAGATAACTTTTTTGCAGATACGGTGTGAGTAGCACGACGATCAGCTTGATTGATGGATATCGGTGCCATAACATGATGTTTCTGCTTCTACAGATACGATGCCAGTAGCACAGTGCTTCGATTCAGTATGATGGACATCGAGGCTGATAACGCTATCTTCCAAATCAACATGGGAAACATTATGAAATATAGTTTAATTCATCATGAGGAATAGCAGTGCAGTACGCCTAGTCCTCTCCAATTTGGATGTTGATCGGAAGTCCCCAATGGTACAAGATGAACAACTTTACATCGCAAAATCGAGCATCTTCTACTAGAGCAAGCGTCGTACATCCCTGCTGTTGTGTTGTCCCTGAATACTTTGTCGTCATTAAAAAATTGAGTTAGCGCCTGCTAATCTAAATCGCATGGCCCCTCCGTGTAATCAAGATGGTTGCGGCATGACTCTTCTCTATAATCATTGGGGTTGCGGCACGACTCCTATGTGTAACCAATGCGGTTAAGGATGGCTCATGCATAAGTAGCCTGCTATTGTTTTGTATTACAAATCTACAAGAAGAAAAAACATAGTAGTACGTTGCAAAAAAAAAAAAAAAAAAAAAATTAAGGCCAGAACAGGAAATAAAAAGAAGCAAAGATATTATGCCCAAAAAAAAAAAAACAGATTCTTGGCTAGAGATTTTGAAGACTGCGATTTTCTTGTCCTAGCTTGTGGTGATCCTGTTCTTCTCATGTGTTTTGAGGGCCCAATTCTTGTCTATTTATAGATTCTTAAGGGCGGTGTTCCCAGTCTAATTAGAAGTGCATGAGCTGTAAGTTTCTTAAAGTGATAAAAATTTATTTCTTTAAGGAATCAAAATTATTACAATTCTTGAATGTGTCTCAACGTGCATTAATTTTGGGCTTGGAAGCAGGTAAGACAAATCATATTTCAATAATATAATATTGACTTTGGATATTTATCCATTTAGCATTACAAGAAATCGAGAGTCAATCCATTCAAACCACACTTTGAAATAAGCCTCAAGAAAATACTGGATTCATAGGATTGTGTTATTCACCGGTACTTCAAACCCCGTCATCAAAACTCGACAAGTCTATATTACGATAAAGCTTGAAGTAGGGGCATTTGTAGACATAAAAAAAAATTATTTAATTCATATAAAATTTGGATTAAATTCTAAATTACTTTGGGTCGAATAATTAATTTAGACTTACAAATTAAATAAGTCCATTTTAATATTTTTAAGCCCAAGGTCCATTTCATCTTAAGGTTCAGAATATGTCATGTGTCATAGCATATCCAGTCAAACTCCAGGCCAATAAGGTGACGCCACATGTTAAATGATGTGGCAATCCAAGTCAAAAAAGCAAGAACCAACCATAAGTCGCCAAATGGATAAAATGACATGGGCCAATCAGAATCAAGTAAGAAAGTCCTTATGTAACTGGACTGTCCATCCTCTACAGCTATAAATAGAGGGGTTGCATAACTCTCAGGGGACATTCAGAGTTGGAGAAGAGCATTCCGCAATTGGTGAAGTCATCCACAAATAGAGAGATCAATCATCAAGTGCATAGTGCTTCAACGAATGAGTGATCAACGAATGAGTGATCAACGAAGTTCTTCTCGGAGATCAACCCATAACAACAAAGTGTTGCTCGACGTTCTTGGCGATTAAATATATCACAAGGAGGTCTGCATCGTCCTACATTCGAGAAAGACGTTCCTCAAACCCTCGAATCACAGAGAATTTTAGAGAGGAGAATCAAGGGATACATAGAATTGTACTCACAAATATTTATCAATAAAATCACTTTTTCTACATATTATTTTTAATGCAGTTTATTTTTCGTATTACGGAAATTTGTTGCGAACACTATAATAAATTTTAAAGAAGAATCTTCGTCTTTGTCTGCCAGCACCTTGGTCTCAACAAGAGGAGGAGAGACTGCCATATAGACTAAATGATCCATGTTAGACTGATTGATTGCCTTCTTGGCGAGTAAGTGGGCTACTTCATTTTCTTCCCTGAACTGTGCATAATCCTTGGCTTTCCCATTCCAGATATTAATAACATGCAATCATAAATTAAGGTACCGTAAGTAGGACATCCATGCTTCAAGTATTTTATTAACTTAGTTGAGTCAATTTCCACTTCCAGTGGTATGAGATTCATTTGCATAACCACTTGGAGATCTTGTTTGAGTGCCAGGAATTCTGCTTGCAAAAGAGAAATAGCTTTGGAATAATCATGGTAGCCTATTACCTAGTCACCTTTACAATTCCTTACTACACCTCCCATTCCACAACACAATTTGTTGACATTGAAGGCAACATCGGTATTTAACTTGTATCATCTAGCAGGTGATGTATACCATCGAATATGTATAGGAATTTTCTTAGTGGGATTATTTTACATGTCAGTCATGAACTTATATTCCACAACATGATTAATAGCAGTCATAGAGCTTATGG